AAAACAATATTATTCCTTTCTTTCATTTGTCAGCAGAAGAAACAAATCCTGGTTTGGTTTTTTTTTAAGACATGATTTTCAATCTTTTTGTTCGGCAGTTTTTCTTCCTTCCCTACCACCCATAGCATGTACTTTCTGCAGTGTCCTGGAAGCAGGGCGGGAGGGATGTGCCTTATGGAGATACAGGGAGGTTGTCAGTTTCAGGGTGGTGCCTCAGTTGCTGGAGGGCAGCCAGTGGGGGGTGTCAGAGCTTGAGGATGGGTTAGGGTTTCCTTGGGAACATGTCAGTGTCTGAGAAGAGGTGCTGGGAGGGGAGCAGGCCAATGTCTAAGCAAGCAATAAGGGGCTGAACAGATGCTTAAAAGTAAAGTGACGCAATGGGAAGAAGATGCTAGGCGGGGGGGGCAGTGTCAGTTGAGGGAGCGCTAATGCTCAAGCAACTCTGTCTGTGGGTGTCTGTGCCTGAGGGTGCATGGTACACATGGGAGAGAAGTGCCCACTGAGGAAATTCTGCCTGGGACACCAGACTAGAGAGGTCAGTGCTCTGGGGGTCTCGGTAAATGGATGGCGTTAGTAGCTGATGAGGAGGCATCAGTACTTAAGGGATTTCTGGGGGCTCAGTGTATTCAGGACAGGTTCGGTCCCTAGAGAATTCAGCTGGAGGATGAGTCCTGGGTGGAGGGGGGTTTCAGAGCACTCACTCTCAAGAGGGCCCTTGGATGGGGTCTTAGCCTCAAAGAAAATGGGGGGAGGCAGCCTGGTAGAAGTTGTTTGGGAGAGGATCATGATGGAGTTTTGGTGGCCAGAGGAGGTGCAGTTAGGGAATGTAACTTTAGGGATCCAAAGGGGTGTACTCCTCAGCAGAGATGGAGTTCTGGGGTCCCGGGCGGGGAGAGGCTTAGCCAGGAACGGGCAGGGGCTGAAAATGGTCTGTCATCAGGGGGATCAATCAGGGATGGGGGGAGTTATTTAGGATGGGATTATAATCTCCAGGATTTGTCAAGGGGTGGAGGTGGTTCTGTTGGTGGGCACCTGCTGGGGATTGGGGTTTTGCCCCAGATTTGTGTGCGTGTGTGTAAAGTGGGGAGGGGGTGTCTGTGGAAAGATTTAGTCTGGGAGCAGGAGTTCTTGGGAGCAGTATTAGTCTGGGGAATCCCGGGGGAGGGGGCTAATCTGGGAGTGAGAGGTTGTCTAGTGGGAGAATTAGTCTGGGGTGAAGGGCCCCCGGGGTGGGCGGGGTTAGTCGGGGGCAGTCCCCCCTGGAGATCAGAAGGATTAGTTTGAGCGTGTCCCCCCAGGGGTGGAGGTTAGTTGGGGGTTGGCGGGGGGGTACCCCCTAGAGGTGGAGGTTAGTTGGGGGGGTTGGCGAGGGTACCTCCCGAGGGTGGAGGTTGGCTGGGGGATAACGGGGGTTTGGCTGGGGGTACCCCCTGGGTGGGGGTTACTTGGGGGCCAGGGAGTCCCAGGGATGGGGGGTTGGCCTGGGGGGCCGGGGCGCTCCCCCGGGGATGGGGGTCTGAGGGGTCCCGGCCCCTTCACCTCTCAGCGCCTCCTTCAGCTCCTGCCTGTCGCGGGCGCTGAGCTCGAAGCCCAGCGCGGCCCGACGCCCCCCGAGCGGCGGGCCCGGCGGCGGGCGGAGGACGTAGGCCCGCCCCAGCACCACGGCCAGCAGGGCCACCGCGGCCCCGCACAGCCCCAGGCAGGCGGCCCAGGCCGCCCCGCGCAGCCGCCCCGCCATGCCGCTCCGCTCGCCTCGCGCGCCGCCCGCCAATCACCAGCCCCCAACTCAGAGACTCCGGCCAATCGGAGGCTTCGTTCGGCCTTCGCTGCAAGGCCTGCTGGGAGTTGCAGTTCCCTGGCCCTGGCAGCTGTTTCCGGCAGCTTGACCGCTCACGTGGCGTGCCCAGAGCAGGGGGCTGGAGGCCGGGCTCTTGGGGCTGCTCCCAGCCCCGGCAGAGTGTGGGGCCCACCACAGGGGCTGGGGCTGTGTCTGCTGGCTCCCTTTGTGACCTCAGGCAAATCACTTCGCCTGAGTATCCCCATGCGTAAAATTTTGAAGCTTAATTAATCACACTGTTTAATAGACACCAGGATCTGCAAGTGAACACCACCATAGAAGTGTATAAATTTCGTATGCATAAGTCATATTACATGCATTGTGTTTGTTGCTGCCATTAGCAGCAGGAGGGCAAGATCTGTTCTCTAACAAAACTCAGTTCACATTCACATAAGCGCAATTGCAGTGTACCTCTTGCTGGGGACAGCAGACCAGGAAATCCAGCAATAGCATTAACACTATTTCTAAAATGAGAGCACTGTTGAGGAAAAGGAGCACCCTTTGCTGATAAATAGCCATGTGATTTATATAAGAGAGTGGTGTAGCATGGATTCTATACGAGTAATTAATTCTGCAAAGGTGTAGAAGCATACAGAAACTAGGACAGCACTGGTAAAATACATTAACTGTAGGCATGCCTAAAGCTTTTATCACCATAGTACCAAGTAGAATTGGCATAAGGGTTCTGGGAAACTGTACTCCCAAATCAGTAGATAAAGCATATGATCTGTCACATATTGTTTATTATCAAAAAAAGAAGAACCAAACCAATATTAAATTAAATAAATTACACAAACATTTTGAGCTTGTTATGCATCATGCAAGTATCAAATAAGGCTTCAAAGTAATTACATATTAATATCACTAGACTTTCAGAGACATAAAAGGTCATTGGAAGTTTAGAATTTACCACCCCCAATGGACTCTCTTTCTGAGTTTCTCTAGTTCCCTGGTCAAGATACCCTGGAAATGAAGCTTTCTGAGCTGGCCACATAGAACCTTTGAAAGAGAAATGCAAGTCATGTTAACTTGTCATTCTGTTTTGTTCAGATTGGTGAATGTCGCCTTTGAAACTAATGTTCTGGGACCCATAGACTTGTCAGGGTTCTGCATCTAAAACATTTGTGCTACTCAGTAGCAAAATGGTGACAGGAGTTATGCCTTCAAAAATACCATCTGTCAGCTGCTGAGGGCTGCATTTGTCACCAGAATTGGCACTGGGCTACAGAAACCAAGTATCCCTCTACCTGAGACTTCAAGGTGGCAGAGTATGTAATTATTGCCACTACTTTCATGGCATCATTCTTGACATCCCATCCATCATGCTGCTGGGAACTGCAAAGGAAACAATACATACTTTGCACAGGGATCTGTTGCTCTGAGGTTTCCTGTATTTGAACTGATACTTTGGCTTTGTTTAATAATTTTCTCCTGCACCATGTAATCAGAGACTGAGGTTGAGCAGTAGTGACTTAATTAATGAGGTGCCACACAAAACCCAGGCAGCTCTGATGTTATAACATGGAATGTTTGTCGAGCCTGGATGAGTCATGCAGCTCTATTTTCATTGCAAGTGGGGCATCATTTATCTGGGAGCCACAGTACAGCTGCATTTTCTTTCCCCGATAATGTTATCTCAAAGACCCTTTTATCAGGGTGGTTTAAGAGTGTTTTATGAATTAAACAGATTTAAAACCATATAGTAAAACACAAAAGCGTTATTGACATTTTAGGTTATTAGAACAGAAATAACTTTTTAAAAGCAAATTTCCTTTGCATTATTAAGGCCATTATCTATTTTTTATTCCTGAAAAACAGACAAGTCAGTTTCACATTTGCTTCTAAGCAGTTTCATTTTCTGGCCCTTATGCTTTATCCCAAGGCTGGAAACACCACAGCGGAAGATTTAAAATCCAGACAAAAAACTGCTTTCATCAGAACTTTAAAAATGTCATAGAAAAAATTCTGCTCATCATAATTTTTGCAAAATTGCTTTTCACAAAACCTGAATTTGGGGCCTAAATGTACGAATAAGTGTCCCTTTAATCCTCAACATACTGTATTTTTCAGCGTTTACATATACTTTAAATGCATTTCCTCTAGTCATAGGCTTCAGAGAATCAATATGGAGATGAAAGGAAGGAACTAGAACAGAAAACTAAAATAGCAATAGTTATTAGCATCACTCACACTTTTATATATAAAAGTATTAGGGTTTTTAAAAAAAAAAATTAAAAGATATCATCTGTCTATGGGTTATCGAGTCAGGCTTGTTTGCCCGAGAGGTAGATTGTCCTGGTAGCATCAGTTTGTGGTGATTTTTATTCAAATTCACATAGCGCATGAGGGACCAGACACCGTAGCAATCCCAGCAGATGAGCTTTCTCTTGTCACTTAGGTGATTACCTAAAATCTCTTCAGCTTGAAGCTCCAAGCTTGGAGAGGTTAGTGCTGGGTATCACAAGAGCTGTTGACTCCTGGCATACCCAAAATATGCTCAATCTTTAATTATACTGCTCCTGAGTTTTAGCATCATCAAGAACCATTGGATGTATGCACTGAGCTGAAGGGTCTCTCTCTCCCTGTCCCTGAATTTGCTAGGGATGGGCACACTGGTTAAGAAAACCTGCTCACCCTGAAACACTTACCTATTTCTAGAGCTGAATCTAAACTGAACTTTTTAGCAATGTCCAGATACTGAGAATAGGAAGAGGAAGCATCAAAATACCACAGGAATACTTGCTCTCATGATGTTCCCAGATTAAAGGCCTGACCTAAAGCCTGTTAAAGTAAAAGGCAAGATTCTCCTTGACTTCAGTAGGCTTTGAATCAGGCCCTAATTCTGCCAGTGCTTTGAATAAGCTTTATTTTAACTACCCAAACTGTTGGGAAGGCCAGTGTGTGAATATAACTCCCACTAGAGCTGGCAGGAGCTCTTGGTCATGTGAGCTGAGGGTGGCTAATACCCAAAAATAGCCTGAGCATGTAATATAGAATGCAGCATTACTCCCATGCAGTGGTACCAAGGATTTTAGAGTAATAGAAAACACAGCACTGGCTCAGTAAATGGTACCTGGTAATAGACAGGACAGCGCAGGAGGGCCTGTAGGGTAATAGAGAATACAGAGGTGGCTTTGGGCAGCAACCCCAAGAAATTCACAGGCTTAAATTCAGCGTGCAGATTCCCAAAAGGTCAGTGCACATTTTAAAATATTATCACCTTGCAAACCTGCGTCACTGCATCTTGAGAGGGTTACTTGTGGTTATGAATCAAAGCCAGGAAAGGCTTGTAAATTTCCTTATATGTCACCTCGTTGGAAAAAGGAAGGAAAACAAAGGTGATGCCTGTGTTATGCAACCCTTATGGCTGGGTATGTGAGTGGGTTCTGGAGGAGGAGGGACAGAGATAGGGTTGACAGCGATGACGGATATTAATAATCCTTCTGCCTGGAGGCACTTGCCATTAAATTAAGTTGCTGCTCTTCTACGTGTAGATGAACGTTATTTCCTGAGTTCCTGCTTCTGTTGTGTTCTGTTACCTGCTCCAAGAGTCCATTGCTCTGAATTCCACACACAGAGGGAAGGAGGAGAGAGGATGTCAGGAGGAGAGGTATGACGGCCCCTTGCCTCACAACCTCACTGCTACCCCGGGCTGGAAGCACAGAAAGGCTGTTCTGCGCACCACTCAGACAGGGGAAACTTCTTCATAAAGGAATACGTGAGAATAGTCAGTTCTGGAGGCTTTGCCAGCACTTTAACATTCCCCCAGGCACTTACAGCGCTGTCTGGGCCTCCGAACGGAACATGGTTCCAAACATCTCCTAAAGGGACAACAAGATGGGTTTGGTTAGAATGGTACTAATGACTTTCACATGTTGGTGTCCAACCGCATAGCCACTGCACTTGATCTCCATTTCTGTATCCAGCTTTACACCTTCTTCATTTCCTCTTGAGCTTTACACCTCAAGAGGGAAGGTTATTGGCATTGTGGCTACCTGGTTCATAGGGTTTCCTTTGCATTGTTCCTTAATAGGCTGAAAGGGTCAATTTTTCAATGACTGTCTTTCTCGGGCTAGGCCCTGAATGGATGCAAACAGTGCAGCCCCATAAAAGTCAATGGAGCTATGCTGATCTACACCAGCTGAGTACTTGGACCGAGATCTAGTGATAGGCCTCATGCTCCACACTCTCCAAACTTTGGAGGCCTTCAGGATCTGAACTTTGTAGCACAGGCCCATCTCCAGTATGAACCCAGGAGTCCCTGTACTGGAATCGATCAACAGCCCATCTAACCCAGTATCCTGTGACACTGGCCAGTGCGCGATGTTTCAGAGGAAGACATAAACCATCCACCACAGTGTGTAATACCATACCATGCAGAGTGAGGGTTTCTTCCTGTCCTCCCCAGCCCTCAAGCTTCTGCATTTAAGCCTGAGGACTGATAGCCCACCAGCCTCCAGGCACACGACAGATAAAAAGCAGCAGATGCAGCAGCAAAAGTCAAATGAGTCTCTCTTCAGAGGAAGGACAGTCTTGTAGTTAAGCACTAGACTGGGAGTCAGGAGATCCGGGCTCAGTTCCTGCTGCTGCCACAGTCTGACCTCCCTGTGTGACCTTAGACCTCTCACTTCATCACTCTGTGCCTCAGCCTCCCATCTGCAAACTGCATAACACCGCTCCCTCTCACCCACCCTTGGTCTGTCTCATCTACAGTGTTCTAAGCTCTGTGGGGCAGGGGCTTATTATGTATATGTACAGCTCCCAGCATAATGGGGCATCAGTCTTAGTTGGGGCAGCTGGGTGCTACCACAATACAAAGTGATTCCTGGTCCTATTCCTCACCTCCTCCAAGTTCTTGAATTCTGCACTGCTTTCATCCACAGATTCATCATAGATGGAGAGCTCTGTCTGACTTGGTCTCTGCATGGGAAGAAGTCAAAATCAATGATTAGCAGGCACAGGACTGAAAAGGATAAAACTGTAGCTAACCCAAGAACAGCCTGTGAAGTTGCCCTATACAATTTGGAAGCACGAATTGTTATTGGATATGGGTCTGGACCAAAACATCAGACCCAAAACCAGTAAAGTGGATATAGAAAATGATTGGGCAAGTGTATTGGTCCTGATTTGCATTTACACAAGGGCTGAACTACACCACTTTGGCATTACATTTACATTCACAGCCTCTTTGTGGCCCCTTTTGGCTGTGAAAGTGGTATAAAGAGGTATTAATGTAAATGAGAATCAGACCTATTGCCTTTTGGCTCTTCTTTAAAAAAAAACACCCACATTTGTTCCAGTGTGAAACTACCTCTTTAAAGTAAAGTACCTGGAATCTGGGGCCCAACTGTGTTAACCGGGACCCTGTAAGACACCCCCCTGCCCGCCCCGACATTTAGATTCAACAAACAAAACTGAAAAAGAGTCAGTTGTTTCCTTGTCCTCAATCTCAGTGGGAGCCAGGCGGTTTCACCTTCAGCAAATCTCTTAAAAAGCAAATAATTGCTGTGCAGCCGTGATAAGCGCTTGCCTAGTGTCAGCCCAAGGTTGGGGCTGCAGAAGTCTTATCAGGTGTAGCAATGCAAATAAGTGGGCAGGGAGCAGCCCAGGCTGTGAGCAGCTAGTTACAGTGTAGGCAAGGGAGAGGTCAGACCCCAGTTCCCTTGTTCAGGGAACAGTGAACTGCAAGACTGGTGTTCGGAAGCGGTCACTTAAAGCTGTGTGCGCCACTCTGCCTGTGCTGGTTCATACACAAGCATTCATCACTGTGGTGTCTGATGATTGCACAGCTCAGTGTCTATCCGTGAGTGCGGCTGATGCCCTCACCAGCACCGCAGATGCTATACTTAAAATTCCAACTGCCCCGCGGTTCCCTGGGACATCGCTGAGTAGCCAGAAAAAAAGACACATTCCCTTCCTGCAAGCGTCATGGGATGTCAGGGAGCAGAAATAGAGGAATAAAGTATGAGCCAGATCCTCAGCTGGTGTGAACTGGCATTGCTCAACTGACTTCAGTGCTAATTTACACCAGCCTAGGATTTGGCCCTTTCAATATGGCTATTGCTAACAGATATCGAGCACACTTTCCCCGATCAGACAGGCCTTGCACCTTTCCCCAGGCCAGAGCTCGGGTGACCATATTTCCCAAAGTAAAATGGGACACTGTGCAGGGCTGGCATCGCCCCTTCACCCCCCACCCCCCCATTCCTTCGCACCCCAGTTTGTTGACAAAGTGGGCCTTTGTCCTGTTTGCTCTTGCCAACTGATCAAGTCAGCAAGAGCAAACAGGACAAATTCCGCCTTTTGGAAAAGAAAGTCAGGACGACTGGGACAGAGCTTAAAAAAGGAACTGTCCCGGCCAAAACAGGACGTATGGTCACCCTAAAAGACTCTCCAGCCCCCCGCCCCTCCCCGAACATACCCCATCCTATCGGTTGCTTTGCTTGCTACTTCCCTTGGGGTGTAAGGTGCACTTATTGTGCGCACCCACTGAATGCCTCATTACTGCACGATCCATGATTCAGTGGCATACATTGTTTTAGGAAGGTTTTGCCCTTGTGCTGGGAGCTAAAAAAGCACATAATTTTTGTGTTTTTCAGGAGACAGCATAAGCTAGTGGATAGTGCACTAGACTGGGATTCAGGAGGCCTGAGTTCTCTTTCTGCCACTGTTGCCGTGCCCATAACACTTCATCTCTCTGTGCCTTTGTTTCCTCTCCAACCCCGTGTCTGACTGTCTATTTAGGTTGCTAACTCTTTGGGGGCAGGGACTGTCTTTTAGTATGTGCGTATACGGCACCTAGCACAATGGGGACCCAATTTCTAACAGCTACTGCAATGTAAATAATAACGTGGATGACCAGAAAGGGAGTCTGTGGTGACTGACAGTGAGGGGAGGAAGAGTTCCCAGGGTCATCATATTAATTCTTCTTCTTCCTTCCAGGCTCCCATGGAGTCCTGCAGTCCCTTTGCGGCTCTTTAGAATGCTGCCTCACCCACTCCCACCCAACCCTCGGGTGGCAGTAGAAATACACTGGGAGAAAGGACCCAAAGGGAAGCAGGGTTTCCAAAGGGGAATGTCTCTCGATAGCATATTTCCCCTGGCTGAGCTGCTGTTTGCGCACACGCATAGTGGCAAGTCTGGATGTTTTAACATGTTATCATGAGATAAACTCGGCAGCCTGGCCATTGTTTCCATTCGAGTTACTATGCAATAACCAGCTGGTATCTTACTAAATAACCTATGTCACCCCTGTATTTACAGCACGTGCCACACTGCTGCATGTCACTTTCCTTGTCCCTCCCACTGGTAGTCACTTCCTGGGGAGGTGGACGTGTTCTGCCTCTAGTTTCTATGGGCTGATCTCTGCCCTTGTTTGAATCTATGCCTCCCCGTTGGTAATCAAATGTTGAGCAAAATCCTGCTCCCAGTTACACCTGTGCAATGCTTTTGACTTCAACAGGGTTGGACAGTGACCCCCATAGGGGTGTCTGGTCTATACGCTTGGGTCTCTGCCACTTGAGCTAATGGAATAACAGTAGTAGGCTCTTATCCTCTCATGTGTATACATGTGTGTAGCTGAGGGCAGAATGCAGCCCTGCGGTTCTGCAACCTGGTGGAAAGCCCAAGGCGTACCTCTTCTAAACCAGGAGGACGGAAGACTCCTTTGGCATTTGCCAGCGCAAACAGAACAGCATCGTGGATGGTCAAGAAGATGTGACTTGGGTCCAGGCCCTCTTCTTCGAAGACTCCGCCTGTGCTAATGTCATGGTACACCTGGGCTGCAGAAGGAGAAAAGACGCTATGAGCAAAGAGAAACGGACTGAAGGAGGAGTTGTTTGAAAGTAAATGGGGCTGACAGAGAGTTCCTGAACCTGTAGCAATTCCGGTGGGCAGACGCCGACCAGATCAGAAAGGAAATGGTTGGGAATTCACCCCTACACAGAGCAGAGTGCCTGCCAAAGCCTGTGCATTACTGGCATCCCATTTAAAGCCGGAGGGCCCACTGCTGCTGATGCGCTTGCAGATGTGTAAATGAGGGCAGAATTTTGTGCTATGGTTGGTTTCTGAGGTTGTGACTGAAATAAGATGGTTTGCTGGGCTGAGCAGGAGGAAGGTGATTGTGCTGGCATCCCAGGGAGGGTTTTCAGCGGGTCATGGGGGCAGCAGTGGAGAAGGGTCTGACTTGCACAGGCAGTTTTCCAGGATTTTGGGATGGGAGGATTCTGGCAGAATTTTTGTCCTGGGGTGAGGCAGGTCAGTAGTCCAATGGACAGGGTGGTTGGAATAGAGCAAGGAAGGGAGAGGAGAGACAGATTTACTGCATATATATGTATTCTTAGGTGCAAACTATGGAGGTACGATGTCTATATCCAATCCCAGATAAAATGCCTACATTTATACACACCAAACGCAGACCTTTTCCAGTCTATATTCCCCCCCTTTTTTCTGTCCCATCTGTTCTGATTTGCTCTGACATGTCAATTACACATTATTACAGAGAACAATGAAGCCCAGGAAAGTCGAAGTATAATCCTGTCCTATTGTGGGACGATAAACTTGCATGTTTATAACCATTAGCCACAGCCATTAAGCTCCAAAGAGAACACAACGGGGCCTGAAATAAATGTTTCCAAGTGGAAAACATCCAAAAGCCTCAATCACAAAGAAAACCATCCCCTTTTTCATTTTGCCTTTGTGGAATGAAATAGCTCTGTAAACCCTTTCTTCTTGCTACACGCTTGCTTTATTCTCAACGGCCCTGAGCTACGAAATCCCGCTTCCTAAAATAATCAGTGTGGAGTGGCATGTGCCAGAAACCTCATCACTTAGGAGATTTCATAGTAGCACTGGGGAATATATTGTAGGGAACAATCCTGTACTAGTCACAGGAGAGGACTAGATAACTGAAAACTTCTTTGGTTCTCTGCAGTTTCATCCCACCCTTTCCATTGAGTCAATATAAAAACTATATCACCACTACGCCTGTGTCTGAGAAACTGGGGAAAGAGCACAAAGAAATGTGCTATGCTTGGATGCTTACCATGTACGTTTGCCAGGAAGACTTTAATACCAATCTTCTGATAGCTGGAACACAGCTGGATGGGAAGAAGGAGAGAGAGGACAATAAGAAACAATAATATTTGGACTTATATAAGGCCTTTAATCCAAGGCTCTGCATCCACTTTGCAGATGCTAATTCATACACCCTCACAAGCTGTAAGTGAGGAAGATAAGAGGACCTCTAACGGGAGGTTTTCAGTTTGTGTGGTCTATATCTGTAGTCCACTGTATTCCTTCTCTCTGGCTCTGGGCACATGGTGCAAACACGGTAGGGTGACCAGATGTCCCATTTTTAAAGGGACAGTCCCATTTTTTGGGACTTTTTCTTATATAGGTGCCTATTACCCCCCACCCTCTGTCCCATTTTTTCACAGTTGCTATCTGGTAACCCTAACACACATGAACCCACAATGGACTACAATACGGACCATCACTTGAAGAAGAAGCATCTTTATCCCCATTGCATGGCAGGGAAACAGAGTTGCAAAGAAGTGACTTGCCCAAGGATTCACATGCTGAATTAGTGGCAGAGAACTAACCTTCCCCAGAGCTTTTGTGCCCATCAGATCCACAAAGCACACTCCACTCATGTCCAAGATAACGGTGTGGAAGCTGACGTAGGGCGGTGCTGTGATCATCGGGTCGATGTTTGCAACTGGGCTGACGCTGCAAGTGCTGCCTCGATGGCTCGAGATGCTGCCCAGCTCACTTGAGGTATTGACCTGCCCGGCATTGTTTGTGGGGGGGTGGAATGGGATGTAGGAGATGCAGGTGCCATTGGCAGTCGTTTGGTTGTTGTTGGTGTCCGTCGGAGAGGTGCTTTCAAAATCTTTCTGGAGCTCTTGCACTGACAAGGTCTGCAGCCAAACAAAGGCAACCAGGTCAGGATGCGATTATCAGTGCTCTCAATCTACCTCCTGAGGCCAGCATCCAGCCCAAATTTTGCGTTTGAGCTACAGCATGTATTTTAGAAAGACGTCCATCAGGCCAGTTTCAGTGGAGTTACAGGCGTGAGCTTCTTTTTGACTGTGCCCAAAGGATCAACCAGTTTGTCAAACATTGTCAATGTCTCAAACTGCAGGCTGCATTCCAGCCACCGAGCCACCCCCACTCCCACTTGGCCCATTCGTACCTAGTAGGCAACAGGACATTTGACAGCCTCCCTGACCATGAAAAGAGCAGCCATGGGGTGAGATGGAGAAAGCCCTCAGGATCCAGTCAGTAGAAGAACAATGTGGAGGCGCAGCCAGGGCTGATACAGCCTCTCCTTCCTGGATCCTCTAAGTTGTCATCCCAGGTACTAATTACCTCGACCAGCTGTGTTCAAACAGGGGAGGCCACTTCGGCAGCTTGCCAAATAATTCCTAAGGGCTATATCTACTTTGCATATATATTCACATACATTTTAATAATCAAGACTGGACACACTGTGCCCATATTCACTCCCTTCCATCATGGATGTCATTTTGGATTCACTAGCCACAACATGAAGAGGAGACCAGATCACTAACGGGTGATCTTTCCCTACAGTTACAAGCCATGGGCTCCCAGGCTGGTCATTCCCGATCTAGTCACTCTGGGCAAATTGAGCTGAATTCTGTTTCTACTGAACTCAGTGGGACTTTTGCCCCTAAGTTTGGTGTGAGCATGGTTTGGCCCTTTGTGTAGGTCACTGTAGCACGCGCTATAGGTAAGAGAGGGATGGGGGAAGTGCCCCGGAGAGGTTGGACACAAGGACGTACATGAGGCCATACAGCAATCAAAGGAACCCAGAGTGAGTTACCTTCTTGTTCCTGAAGAACAATTTTTGCAGCTTCGTTGTTTTTTGTGATGCCGCCTTCTTCTCCTGGTGTTTCACGTATTTTTTTCTGGCTAAGTACACTTTGCCGGGGTCTACCCCAGTCTGTGGAGAAGGAGAGATAGTGAGTTGGGTTTGCTTATGTAGCTCATCTGTCAGTGTCGTGAGCTCAAGAGCCTCGTATCCATATATGAAAAACGGAAGGGGAAACTGACCACTGCCCATGCTAGCACATGGTCCAACAACACTTCCCTTCTCAGGAGCACAGAATATGAAGGCAGCAGGAATAGAGGGGCTGAAATGGAACCTATTGTGCCCCCAGCTTACACACTCTCTGTTTCAGGGTGAGTCTCTGCCTCAGCTGCTATGTTCACACTGCTACTTTTAGCATGCTAGCTTGAGTCCTGCTAGTGTGAGTCTGTCCAGCTGGGCTGGAAGGCTGCAGTGTAGACATACCCATAGCGGCTAAAGTCGCAAGCTCTTATAGCAACCTGCACAAAACTTGGATGGAGGAGCACAGGTTGCAGGAGGAGGGAAGAGTTTGGAGGAGGCAGCGGGAAGTCAGTCTGTGTGCACAGGGCTAGAATGCTAGTGGCCATTGCAGCACCTCTGGAAATAGTTGTTTTAATAAAGAGCCGGTTTAGTTTCACAAGCATGGAATCGTCTCATGTTGTTACCCAGCATGTAGTATATGAGATGTGATAGTAACAGTGGGATTCCATTGCAGCTGGCACACACCAAAAGTCACATGACAGCAGCCAGGAGGGTGCATCAGAGGAGGGCTGTAGAGAGACTCACTGACCAGGGAAGAAAAGGACTATGCCCTGGAAGGGTAGAAGGGATTATTTATGAAACCCTGCTGATTGGGAAAGGAACTGCTGGTACCTGAGAGGGCAAATGAATTGCTTATGTTATGGAACCTGAAGGACTTAATAAAGCAGGCCCCTGCAGGGGAAACATTAATTAAAACTCCTGAGTGTTTGTGACATGACTGGACAGCTAAGCCAGGGAAATGGAGATCATGTTGCTATGCTGGGAGGTAGTCTGCTGTTGACCACACCCTGCAATGCTTCTTATCTGCAGAGGCCTCAGCTGAGCTCCCTTCCTAGCTGAGTGTCATGGTCTCTGCTCTTAGAAACTGAACACACAATCCCCCATGGGGCTCCCAGGCTGTGCTGGCTTTGGGCAGTCAGATCAGAGGCTGAAAGCCACATACTTTTGGAACCAATTAGTGCTTTCCATCATCTCTGCAAACAGAAGCTGGCTAGGGTTTTCTTACCTTCGCTATAACCTTCTCCCTGAATATCTCTGAGTTGGCAAAGTACAGTGGGGAGCAGTAGGTCACAATTTTAATCCCATCAAGTTCATTGACCTGCAACAGACATCAGAGTTCAGACTATGCACAACAACTCAAGCCTTTGCACGGGCTTGTTGGTTTTTGCAACAAGAGAAAATAGAGGTGCGGTGAATAGATCTGGCAAAGAAACCTCAGGTAACCTTCGATAAATGCTTATCTGTGGGGAACACAACTAGAGCTGGGTGAAAATTTTTGCCTGAGTCTTTTTTTGGTGATAAATCCAGATTTGGCGACACCAAAACATTTCACAAATCCATGTCCATTTCGCCAAATTGTTTTGGCTGGAAAAAAACAAACAAACACTTAGAACAAAAAATTCAGAAAAAAAATCAAAACATTTCATGTTGACATTTTCAAAACAAAACCTTTCAATTTTTTTGACTCCAAATGACTTTTTGTTTCAAAATTTCTTTACGTTTTTATTAAAAATCAAAAATGCTTAAAAATGGACAAAATGGAAAGGAAACCTTTTGCTCGACCCAAAGCAATTATTTCCGGGAATTGCCAGTGAACTGAAAAATCAGTTATTTGCACAACTCTAGACACAACTGCCAGCCCCCCCTACTTTACCATGGAGTAATAATATCACCAAAGAACCAGCCCTGCAGGTGGGGCAGATGGGTGGCAAATATGGGGGCCTTCTGCTTAAAATGAGACAGACAGGTAGTAAATGATCACAAAGGCCTCCACCAGAAAGAGCAGATCTACTGTTATGGCTTCTGAAAATAACAAGCAAATAACCCCACTGAGCTGAATCAGGAGAGACAGTAACAGAGCCTACAGCCCCTTTGAATCACTTATTCGTCGAGTGATGCAGGAATGAGAAACGGGGGGGGGGGCTTGCATTTTTGGTTGGGGGATTTTAGCTTCCACACTTACCTTATTGTAGGTTTTGGGGTTCTTGTAAATGTCAGTGGAAGTTACCTGACCCAGGGCAGAGCCATTACGACTGGGGAAAAAAATACAACAGATAGATTAAATTTAAGACGGGAAAGAAAAATGCTGCGTCTCTTGCTGCCATGCAAGTGTGCAGCACGCTAGGATTATTGTTTATTTATATTATGGAAACAACTAGAGGCTCATGCAAGACTGGGTGCCTCATTGTGTTCAGTACTGGTGAGAGCAAGGTTAATTCACAAGACTGCTCTGTTCTTTGGCTGAAATTCACTTCTGTGCGGAGGGTCAGCTGTAGGCCGATGCACAAGTTCAGGCCTATGCTGAGGGGAGTAAGTAGTGCATAGGCTTTGTGCCAGGCTCTGCACGGGGTGGATTTCACCCTTTATGAGCAGTGGATTCCTTAAGGAAAGGCACATGGAGCTGGTGTTTTTCTGGGCAGGGTAAATAGCAGCGGGTAAATACACCCGCTTTGGAGTAGGCACCTGAGTTACTGTGATCAGGAATAGAAACCAGGCAGTAATTAACAACTGACATTCCTGCTTGCACATTGAGATTTGGAGCCTGCATTTGGGGTTTGGAGCCTGCATTTTCCCAGGGCCCCCTCTCAGATCCTCCTTTGAAAATCTAGCTCGAAGGCCATTGATACAAAGAACCCCCAGGTTGTTTTGTAACTGGAAAATGTTCTGCAGTTGCACTGCCATATTGCAGCTTTTCACCGAGATGCTACTTACAACTGAGTGTGGAAAACCACCACCAGCACAGAAAATCCCACGCCGACAGCGAGTCCGAACGGCAGGCCCAAGAAGAAAGCCGACAGGAAACTCACCACCCAGACCAACTGTGAGGGAAGACGAGAATGGCAGGTCATTGCTCTGTGCCACAGGCAGTGGGCACTCTGATGAAGCGTTTGCAAGGACAGCTGGACCAGAACCAAAATACCTATGGCCTGGGGATTAAAAAACCTAAATCTAAATTTTGCAGCTTAGACCCTTTTCTAGTTATAAATTGCTGTTTGGTGCACGAGAAAAGTTTTCATGTGCAGTGTCTGTTCTTGGGACACTGAGGCACAAATGCCATAAACTCAAGTTCTTCAGCTTTAGAAAGGTGTCAGAACATTTGTACAGTACTTCAGATACCCCTCAATACCCAGACTAGCTCACTCAGTTTCACTCACTACCTTTCTGACTAGTCAAGACAGGACTTTTGCTGCTTAGGCCCTTTTCTAATGTATAACTTATTCATGCCTTTCTGAAAGCCCCTGCTGCTGATAGTCTTTTAGTAGAGATGTGAATCTACTTGAAAACATTTTTTCACAGCTGGTATAAAAGACCTAGATATGTAACTGATGCAGAAGCAATGTCCTTTGAGAAGCATCTTAGAATCCTCATCCCACCCACAACAGGAATAATAGGCCTGATTCTGATTTCATTCACACCAGGGTAACGCCACTGAATTCAAATCCCAGATTTACTCTGGTATAAGAGAGAGAAGAAAGAAGCAGAACCCAAACCTTTCACTTTATCAGTGACTTCCTCTCCTCATAAGCCCTTTATAAACTATGTGATACCTGAACAGTGATCCATGCGGCCTGCTCTGAGGTGAAGCAAGACAGCCATCTGGTATCACATAGCAATGTTGTGACAACAGTTTAGGACAGGAAGTGGAGAAGGTCACTGTAGCCAATTGAAATTCCAGGGAAAATTTAGGTCAGCAGAATGCAATTAACCTAACTGAAATTTGGCTAGGATACTGGGATCAACACTCCTTGTGTTACAAAAAAGAGGAGTGCAACCTTTCTTGACCACAGGAGACCAGCGCCCTGCTTTATTATCTGATCCAGAAGACATCACAGCTTGGACCTATGTCAGTAAGATGGATCTGAACTCAAAAATTGGATCCAAGCCTCTTGAACTTTATGGAAGATCACAGATGGATCCAACCTTTGGGTCTGTATGGACTAAGGTGAAAACAGGTGTTTTAAAAACCGGGTTAGGTAATATGACTCGAATTTGTCTTGACTAGGAAAAATGGTCTGGTTTAAATTGAGTTTAGTGAACAAGTTGGCTAAGGCCAACCGAAACTCAAATACTTTTCATAGTCAAGACAAATCTTTGGGTTCTCCTCTAGGCTACAACAAAACTAGCTGGCACCATTTTAAAAGAGTTAAATTGTGTCTAAACTAGCTGCTAAAGTGGTGTTTCAAGTCAAGTGAGCTCACTCAGTTTAGAAACGTACCTTTTTGACTAGTCAAGACAGAGAGTTTGGGCTTGCCTATGCTTAAAGGTTTTGTTGTTTTAACTATGCCATAGTGTGGGTGCAATTATACCAGTATAAAAAAGTGCTTATACTGGTATAGCTTATTTCAGTTCAAGCATTTAAATAAGCTATACAGGTATAAGTCACCTTTATGCCAATAGAACTGCATCCACACTAGAGCTTTTACTGGAATAACTATGAATATGTCTACCCTATAAGTGCCACAGCGGCACAGATGCACCATAGGATAGACAGTTGCTACCATGATGGAAGGGGTTTTTCCATCACTGCAGTAAATCCACTCGACAGGTGGTAGCTATGTTGACAAAAGAATTAATTTTTTTATTAAAGTTAATGTTTAAAATCAAATTTACACATGTTAAGAGGGAAGGTTCTGTACGTCTGGGGTCGGGCTTGGGTTACGGGGGATTGCAAGTATCAGCTACAAGGTTCACGAGGTACATACATACCACATAACCAGCATAGATCCAGATTGGGGTGTGGGAGTTTTAAAAGTGTCAGTGGATAAGTGGGCTCGAGTACGCCACCCATGGAATGTATGAAGAGTCCAAGTCAGGACTGGTGTAGAGAATGAGTACATTCTACAGCTGCATCTACATTGCACAAGGTGCAATGTGTTTCACAGGCCTGAGCCATGTGGTTTGGTCGAACCAACTTTTAGGCATAGACCAGGCCTTAGTATGCAAAACCAAATCACCCTCCTAACCCAGAGGTCTTCTGGGACTGCTTTGAAATATAGATCAGCCCTTTGTAGCTCAGACACTTTGTTAATGTGTTGTTATGTGGTGCATTCATGTAATGGATTGAACTATTCACACTGCTTTAAAAGGCCCTGCCAGGAATCATCACCCATCTCCTCTCCAGCACCTGTTTGAACAGTATTTTAGGAAAGCTGTCTGATGACTCAAGTCAGTCCTTTTGGATTCCTTGTTTCTCTGATAAAGCAGCTTCCTTGGGATTTGGCAGGCTATTTTGGCCCAGTTTGCACAGATACCACCCACCAGCATAAGTCCTGTTCAAACAAAATCTTTAACTGTCAGACATTTCCAAATTCCTTTCTGTCTCCCCCATGCTCTCAGATTGGGTTTATATGTCAACCAGTGCCTGGGATTCTTATCTTTCATGATGGCCTCTCCTTCCCCTGGAGGGCTATTGGCTGAGTTTTTAAGTCATGACTCGGAGATATTGAGTAGGGCCGGTTTGGCTTGTTCTTGACAAACAGGCTCTTAAGGTTGATTGGCATTTAACTAGGGCAGGTAATAGTTCATATCTCTGCATTACATGCGTCAAGTGCGACCGTGCTTGACTAGACCAGACACATTCTACATTGCACTTTACTTGGGATCATCAAGCTAAATGCTGACTAGCACTGAGTTGGAGGCATTATTGTGCTTATAGGGTGAAACTCACCCTTCTGCATGGGGCCAGCGTGAGGCCTATGCGCTTCTTAAATCCTATTTAAGCCCTGCTTTGAGCGCTCAAGTGGTGGTGCCTATGTCTTGGGCTGCCCCCACCACGCGGGGGTGAGTTTCACCCCCACTGAAAAACGTAATCAGATTCTGCTCCTTCTCCCCCAGGTCTCTCGCAGTGGGGTACTCACACAGTCCAGCTTGCTTTTCTTCCACAGGTAGAAGGGGTCAGCCAGCTGCTTGAGGGAGTTTTTCAGGTTGACTGCTATCAGGGCTCCCAGCACAGCCTGCCAAGGAGACGGTATCCAAGACAGGACACATGAAAGTGTTATTGTTCAAGGGGAAACTGCTTGTTGCAAATATCTCCTGCTCTCAGGTCTGGCTGCCAGTTTCCGAGGGGGCAGGGATGAGGGTTTAGCAATCGGTGGTGAAGCTAACAAAGATCATGGTTGAATCTGGATCCAAAATAATTTATTTTATCCCCACCAGTTCCCTTTCTCCTGCTGAGAATCAGTGTGGATGTGGCGCCTTCACACTATGAAACTATGCTATGGGATGGCTCAGTTTACCTGGCCTTTATGCAGAGGACAGGGACCATCTTTTTGTTCTGTGTTTGTACAGCGCCGAGCACAGGGGAATCCCAGTACATGATTAGGGCTGGTAGGTGCTATTGTAGTACCAATAATCATAAATAATTAATACCAACAAAATGTCATTATTGTTAGAGACAGTCCTGATCCAAATACCTTGTTCTGAACACACCCAACACTGGAGCAGCTTGGCTTCAGTCTAAATAAATGGACCAAACCAACACTCTGAATCCAAAACCCCAGAGGCCTGGGGAACTTTGGGCCAGATTTCACAGCCCATACTTAGTTACTAAATAATCACAATATTATAATAGTAAATAATTTATTCATAGGGCATCCCCCATCTGGACATACATAACTGAAGTCAAAATGAGAGGAAGAAAAAGGCAGCATTGTCTAATACTTCCCTGAACTCAGTGCTTAATTTGTAATGAAAGAGGTGCCAGGGCTCAAACAATTTTTTTACATTCATAACTAATGCAGCAAGCCCAGAGGTGCTGGGGCTATGAACTGCCCAGCCTAGAGGTGCCGGGGCTCAAGCCTGGCAAGCCCTGGCACAAATTAAGCACTGTCCCAATCCCATCACTTTGCTCCCTCTGGGTTTCAAGTTTTAATAAACCTAATTTCTAAACTCCAAGTTCACTCCAAGCCTTTCACTCGTATTTGTGCTGAAACCAGGAATTAGCTCAGATTCTCTTGACACTTGATCCAGATTCACTCAGTGGACCTGATTTTGAGAAAACCCCAGATCAAGTGAGTTTCATGGGATGGGGAGGAGGAGTGGGGAGGGGAGTGTTGTTTATTAGAGCTACATGCAGCTTCATGTGACTGCTCTTTGATTTACAAACAGCAAGGAAGGCTGACCTGGTTTGACTGGACATAGATGACACAGGAAATGGAGCAGTCCAGAACAGAGGGGTGACCGATACCCCAGTGTCCCTACTTACATGCCCCCCACCCTCCATGACCCTCCTGGTTGCTTGTGGTTTTACCTTTGGAAGGGGGTCGAGGTAGATTCCCAAAGCCAGCATGGTTATCATAACCACCAGTGCTACAAAGAAACTTGCCATCTGAGGAAACAAAAAGAATAATTACAGAGGTAACCTGGCATTTTTAAACCTTATGTGATTCCTTAAACTGGGGACCAATTAAGTGGAGCAATTACAGATCTAATGGCTTGAGCAGCGGGATGGAGCTCAGGATTCTGGGGTATTATCTTAGTCCTGCCACTGATTCGCAGTGAGGGCTGGGGCATGATACCTAATCTCTCTGCCCCTCAGTTCACTTGAGCTCTGTGCTTTTGCCCATGACTTGTCCCTGTGACAGGCCCCCATTAAAAGTTACTGCTGTTGGCGCCAGATGAAACAAAAACAGCTAAATAGTGAAACTGCTGGCATGGAGAAGAAGAGCTTTCAAACTGAATGCATTTAGTATGAGTGAAATCTCATGGATTAGCAGCACTGGAAACAAAGTGCTTCCCTTCTGCCCGATCCTGGGAGGTGCTGAGCACCCACAATGCCCAGTGCAGTCCCAGGGAGCTGCCTACACTGAACAACCTTCAAGATCAACAGGTGCTTGCTACACAGCATGGGCAGCAAAAGTGCCAGCACTAATGTGCCCCAACCCTGACCAGGAGGGACACCCCTCTGTGGGAGTGAGAGAAGTTCCGTCTCGGTGGCCCATGTGTCCTTGACCTCTCTGCTGAGTCTGTCATCACGGCAGCCAATCAGGAGTGTAGTTTTAGTGATGTAGACCCTTGCTCACTGGAAAATGGGTTGAGATTCACCAAACTCATCCCATACAGAGGCCATTGGAGACATCCATCAGATGGTAACAACTTCCCGTGAGGTAGAGACCCAGTCTGGATTCCAGCTGGCACTCTGGGGAGTAACAGCTCTATGATTATCATTAATCATGTGAGCCAGCTAGGCCCTCAGAAAAACAGCCGTCAGGTTCAAATTCTGCTCTCAGTGTCAATCTGGAGTGACTTTGCTAAAGTCAGTGGAGTTACTCTGGATTAGCAACAGTGAAGTCTGAATCTCTGGCTCTGAATTTTAGCAGAGAATGGCTCCACCCAACACATTCAGGTGCCCCCTCTGTGGGGGTCTATAGGTTAATCGTGGAGGTGTCATCAGGGTTGCTAGTGCGAAATTTGGCACCAGGAAGAAGAAAGTAATAACCTGAGATTTTCCTCCAGCCCCGTCCACAGCTAGGGTTACAGACAGAGCACAGCAGATCACATGGATTTTGAAAAAGGATCCAAAGAAGTTACTGCAGCCCAGGGCAAGCATTTCCTGTGGAGAGAAGAGGAAGGTGTTTGTCAGAGGAGGAAGGAAGCATCACTCTTGTGCCAGCTCCCTTAGTTTCTTCTAGCAACAATTAAAGGAAGGTGAGAGAAGTAGGTCACAGGGATTCTCCTCCTCTTAGCTCCGCCCTGCACACAGCTTCATTCCTGCCCCTCCTCCCCACCCACCATCCTCACCCAGAGGATTGCTCCTTCTCATCCCAGAGGCATCGCTGGATTCCCTAAGTTATGCCCATGATGACAAATCAACTCCAGCCAGTGCCTGGCAACAAGAGACCAGCTGGATTTCTCTTTAAAAACTATGTCTTTAGGAAGTTTTAACAAGTTGGCAAATCCTTGCCAAGCAAACATCAGAAACAAAACAATCATCATAGCCAGTAGCTTTTGTTGAAAGAGACATTATACAGGGATATAGTCATCAGATTTTTCTGTTTCACAGGGTATTACCATATTACAGAGTGAGCATCATTACAACACCTATAACATGTCGTCTCTAGCGATTTTATTAATACTCAAAAAACTGGACAGGTGCTAGTATTTTTTTGCAGGTGGATGTACTTTGAATATTGAATAAAAGGTAACCAAATATCTAAGTATCTATCGGTCCTCTGTCTATTTCCTATGTACGTAATTGAAGTGTTTCCATAACCACAACCTCCCATAGTTTTTGAACCATTCCTCTACGGTTCCAAGGCAGGCCTCAGCAGCCAAGCAGCTATTAGCAGATGAGAGATTAATTCTTCATTTCCTCTCATTTAACCATTTGTGCTGGGAAGCCCTAGGAGAATTACCAAAGGTTCATTTGGTAACAGAGAGCCAGCTTGCATCCCAGTACTCTCTAACGACTGGACATGTGCACCGTATATATATAACATCTCCTCTTTCACTGAAGTTTCCCCAACATTTATCCCTGTTCAATCTATATGTATTTTTTAGCCTGATGGGTTTGAGGTACCACTAAAACAGTATCTTAAAGACATTTTCTTTTATTGTGCTACAGACTGAGGTTGCTGGTCCTCCTTTCCAGATCAAACCCCATTCCTCTGGTGTCATTGGTCTGCCTAGGTCCCTTTCCCAGCTGTTTCACCACTTCTGGATGATTCAATCCTGCACTGAGGCTGATAGCTGGACCCAGTTCCCAAAGATCCTGCCTTAATTTGTGTCTCCGACCGGCTGCAGAGGCATTTTAAAAAGGAGGGAAAATGAGGAATAAAAAAAAGTTTGGAATCCCAAATGCCCTAAAATCTTTACAAGGGTGCCTTCTGCATGAGTCAGACAGGCATAATCTTCCCCTCCTTCGCACTCTGCCTGAAACGCACAGCCGGAACAGAGAGCCGTGTGCTGATCAGGGGTCTGCCTTCGGTAGCATGTGCAACTGTTTCCTTGCATGGGTCTCGAACAGAGCAGGGAGCACAGATGTTAGAGTGCCTGGGAAAGGAGGCCTCCCAATGCGGTCAGTTGGGCAGAAGAAAAGAGAGAGGTGGGGCTGCTGTGGAGAGAAAGCAAAGCAGGGGATCACACCCAAAACTCCCCCCAGTCCTGTACAATCTCCCTCTAGCACACAGATAATCTACTGACAACAACAAACCAGGTCCCTGAGGTCCCTTCCAACCCTGATATTCTATGAAACCAGGATACTGAGCCCCAGACTCATGAGCACCCCTACCACTAGGCAAGTTTGAGCGCAGGAGAGAAAGACACAAATTTCAAAGAAACAGAGTGTGTTTTAAAGCTCCCAACTTATTAAATAGGCTTCCACTTTCACATCCATTATACCCAGCAGCATCTTGACTATATCCTTTTAAATAAAGGTTACCTGGTTGGGGTCCACGTCATAGCCATGTTTGGTTCCCAGGGTCCGTCCCATGGCCAGGTTGATCACATAGCCCACAATGGCAAGTGAGAAAGCAGTGCCAATCATATCTTTCCACTTGCTCACCAGTGGGAGTGTGGGGACTGGGAAGCTGCAGCCAAAGAATAGAGGAGAAAGCTGTCAGGACACAGGTGTTTAGAGATGGAGCCTGTGGACCAGGATTTGGCTTTATATATACAGGATTCACTTCACCCACTACTAAAATGCAGCCACCTCTGGGAGGAACACAGCAGCTGTTTAATGGTGCACAGCAGCACTGCACAGCTGTTCAGGAAGACGAGTGAAGAATGACATATCCAAATGAAACTGCGGGGGAAATTTAGGTCAGTGGACTTCAGCATGGATTTGGTCAGGTTGCTGGGCTTTTGCAAAAAGTGCCAGAGGATTTTAAATGACCCCAAGTGGGAGGGATAGCTCAGTGGTTTGAGCATTGGCCTGCTAAACCCTGGGTTGTGAGTTCAATCCTTGAGGGGGCCATTTAGAAATCTGGGGCAAAAATTGGGGATTGGCCCTGCTTTGAGCAGGGGGTTGGACTAGATGACCTCCTGAGGTCCCTTCCAACCCTGATATTCTATGACCACATCTTTTGCTCTATCTATAATCTGAAAAATTGCACCTCCAAGCCACACAGCCCCCTCTAGTGCCGAGCAGAGCCATTGGCTCAGAACCGACCGAGGGAGGAGTGCCAGGAACTGCATCACCAACACCAAAGAATTAGAGCTCATCAAAAATTTTCCAGTGGAAGAGTCAGAAAATTTGACTAAATCAAAACATTTCACAGAAATGAGGCAATTTCGATGAAATTTCATTTTGAAAAAAGATCAGAACGATTTGTTTTGATAAGGTTGAAACAATGTTTTGACTTTCGCATTTTGAAACAACTTTTCCATTTTTACTTTTATTTTATATGATATAGTACAATATGCAGTGTTGCTGTAGCTGTGTTGGTCCCAGGATATTAGAGAGACAAGGTGGGTGAGGTCATATTTTTTCTTGGTCCAACTTTTGTTGGAGAGAGAGAGACAAGCCTTTAAGGTTACACAGAGCTCTGCTTCAGGACGGAAGAAAAAGGAGCGGTGTGCCTCAAAAATTGTCTCTCTCACCAACAGAAGTTGGTCCAAGAAAAGATATTACCTCCCACCTTGTCTCTCTGATATAATAATTGAAACAAAACATTTCAGTTGAACCTAAATGGCATATATGTCGACAAAGAACACTAGTGCCAGTGTGATCCCCGGGCTTACAGAATTTACTGTGCTTTGCACGTGCTGAATAATATCCTAGATACCATCCCGGCTCTAGCCTTGTTTATTATTTTGACACAGGATTGGTGCTGTGTGTCCCTTGTAATTATAAGATTGTGCAGCGCAGTATTTTATGCTTTACACAATTATAGCTTGGTAATTATATGCTGCTCTTTATAATCCACTAATGCATTGACTCAGGTAAAGAAAGAAGGATTAGGAGACATTTTCCACTCCAACCTGCCCTAGATTCTGTTCTATTTTCGTTCTTATGCCTCACCCAGCACAATGGTATCTGGGTGCAGCGCTGCAGGACAATTGCTACAGCCTGGGGTTAGTCCTTATCCTAGGATATTGTAAGAGGATTGACAATTGCTCTGGCAAATTAGTGCCCTCTTTGGATACCAGTTGCTCCCTGCTGTCGTTGTTATGACTTGTTACAAGTAACTTTTATTATGGTAACGCCTAGTGGCCCCAGCAGAAGCTGTGTCTCCATTGTGTTGGGCGCTGTACAGACACAAAGTATCAGACGAACAAAGGAAGGGACGATTTTACATTTCACAGATGGGAAACCAAGGCCTGGAAAGATCAAATGATTTGCCCAAGCTCACTCAGGGAGGCTGGGTAGAGCTGGGAAGCGAACCCAAGTTTCGTGCGGTCACTGTACATACCCCACTGGAGACATTCAGCTCCTGCCTTGTGCAGAACCTGAGCCACAGTGGAACCCCTCTCTACCCCCTTATAGTGCCCAGTGGTGCCGTTCTGCATGCGGCTGTTTGTTAGGGGCATAGGTTTTGCTGGGGACAAGGCAATCGCTCAGGGAGAGCTACGGAGGAACCTCAATAAACGGGGCGAGGGTCAGATTTGGGGAGAGGAAGAGACGAAGGCAGTAATAAAATGGTGTCCCTTTCACTGAGTTCTCCATTTCGGCAGTCAGTGTCCTTCGTTATCCCTCACTCCTGTGGGGGTTGTTTCCCAGATTGCAGCATGGGTGGGTAGGGGACTATCACTGGTCCAGAGAGAATCAGCACTTGGATATGGATTCAGGCCTGCACGCGCACTTACCCCATCTTAATCTTCCCAACGATTGGCATGTTGTATTTCTCAGGCATGTTCAAGCAGCCGGACACCGCAGTAGCTACTATGACCTGAAATCACAGAGAGTGAAGGAGCCGTAAGTGGAAGCAGCATTGTCAGACCCATACGCAGCGTTGCACTGACCTAGCTGTGCAGGATGGTGAGATAGTGGCTAATGCCTACTACAGCTGAGAACGAGTCCTGTAAAACCAAATTCAGCCCTGGATCAAGTGGGAGAAACGTCCATCTGCTTCAGTGGGAGTTATGTCCATTTATGTCACAGATCAGTTTCCCCCCATAGACATTAAAAGGAATGCACTGACAGTCCAATATACGAGGAAGAAACAAAGGTTTGGGGGGTTCTCCTCCTCTTGAGGATATAAAAATACTTGGGCTTCCCTGTCCCCTTTCATCACAGGTTATCCAAGCCCTTGATGCGTATTACTGGAGTCACACAGGACAAGGTTGATCAGTCACGTCATCCCCATTTTGGAGAACTGAGACAGAGCCCTGTAATAGCAGTGAGCTGGGATAGTGTGAGGAATAGAACCCAAGGTTCCTGACCCCTAGTTTCCTGTCCTAAAATCTCACTAACACTCGCTCCCTCATGGAAGCTTGTGGCCATTCTACACATGGTCTGTGGGGAGACTTAGCCCGTATATAGTTTAGAGAGAGCTCACAGCAGGAATACATCTGGCAAGGCCTCTGCAAATATGAACCTAGCCCGCTGTGGCTCTGTGTGGGCTGGGGAGATGTATAGTTTGTCATGGTTTCATTTAGAGGTGAACCACAACTGGATAACTAAATCCATCACACACACGCCTGGGATTTGGGGGTCCCTGAGCCAAATGTTCTGTCTCAGGCCCAACCCTCATTCTGACATGAAATTCAGTGGGGTCAGCAGCTTCTCTCTGAGGTTTGGGAGCTGCTGCATTTCTGAAACTGAAGCCAAACTCAGGAGCCCTGATTTCCCGTTGCCCTTGAATTGTGCAGCTGGGCAAAGTGAGCGCAGGGTGGGTGTAAAATGCAGGCAAATCAGAAGTGTAGTGCTCTACACCCACTTTGTCCTGGTGTAAACGACCATGTGAAGCAGGCACCGGTGCATTGGGCTCAGTGGTGTGAGCCCCACCTGAACCAAAACCAAAAACTCTAATTAGAGTGACGCTGCCAGTGCCTCCTGCTTCCCCAAGCATCCAAGCCATGCAGGTGTCCTGAGTCTGACATCATGCCTCACCAGGTGTCAAAGCAAGGGTGCTTTGGAATCTAGGCCCTTCCCCTGCCTGTTCTAGAGATGCACCTTCCTGCAAAGGCTGGGAAGAGATGAGGGGAAAAGGCTCTTTCAGGGAATGGTTGTTTCCTCTCTAATGGACAGAGGACGACGGAACTCGGGTGTCACTTACTATGACGATCTCCATGGGGATGGGCACCCGGATCTTCTTCATGTATTTCATATTGAGCTCTTTCACAATAATCAGGAGCACAGTACTGATCAGGGCGAAGATCAAGGAGGCCACATTGGTCTTGGGGAGATTTTTGCAAATATCAATAAATGTCTAGAGGGGGGAGAAGGGACAGCAGTCGGCAAAATGTTGAGAAGGGCTACTTGGAATTCCAGTGGGCAAAGCAGAGAACACCCCGCCCCCCCCAGCCCACTCTGGCCTCCCCATGGACATCTCTGAGCCACAGGTGCTGGAACTAGCGGTGCCGGGGGGATGCTGCTGCACCCTCTGGTTTGAAGTGGTTTCCATCATAGTTTGGTTCAATGGCTCTCCGGACCCACACTGTACAAATTGTTCCAGCACCCCTGCTCTGAGCATATGAAACAGGCACTGGGAAATGAAACAAGCACCAGAAATCCCAAGACAGCCTGCTTCTGTGTCTGGCTACTTCAGTTAAGCAGTCAAACTTCCAGGTGCATAGGACCCACTGAAGTCAATGGAAAGGACTATGGATCAGCTCCATAGAGGGGCAGGGCCATCTCCTCAGTTTGCGAAAAGAAGCACATCTCCACTGATTTCAATGCAGCTACCCCATTCATAGCCATTGAGGATCTGGCCCTATATATTTAAAAACATTCAGTGCCCTTACCTATACCCCTAATTACATCTTTGATTATTGAAACTCAAAGCAATCGAAAAAATGCTCATTTGTTTTTCATTGTTAGTGCCGATTGCATCCTTTTTTGTGTTGTTTTGCTCATCTGGGACAGCAAAAATAGGCTCACCAGGGCTGGATTCCCCTCTCTTAGCAGTCTTATGCCATTGTCACTCCATTGCCTTAATCAGAGGGAGATGAAATGTGGATCAAGCCCGATGGGTCTCTTTTTTTTTTTTCTAGTCCCTAATTCTTATCCACTTCCTCAGTACTGCAGTGCCTGACTTGCAAAGAATGCTGGGAAATGTTTAAACCCAAACAGAATACCTGTCTTCATTGGAATACTAAAAATCAAGCAGCGTCTCTAGGGATTGCAGGTTTGGATTTTCCTGCATTGGCCCCAGGGACGCTCTGACGTGCCCAACTCTCTGCTGACTAAGCTGATTCTGTGTTTCCAAACCTAAACAGGTTAAGGTCAATCCAGCAGTGTTGCCTTCAATGAACCGAACCTTGTCTCAGAAGAACTGCCAGACTGGACCAGACCAGGGGACCATCTAGTTCAGTGTCCGATCTCTGACAGTGGCCAATACCAGATAGATCAAAGGCACAAGAGGTCATATTTATGGGATAACCTGCACCCACAGGTAGTTTCCCCCTGACCTCTAACAGCTAGAGACTGGCTCATGCCCTGAAGCAGGAGGGCTAATATTCCTTCCAAAACTCCCTCAAGACCCATCAATGGTAATAATTAAAAACTATCAGGGCTCAGGTTTGATTGTGGCTTTATTTATTACAGTAGCGGCACAAGGCACCCTGGGTACAAGCTGAGAGTGCTGGAAATGGAGCAGACTGCCATGTGCTTACACCCTCTCAGCCCTCTGCTCATTTGATTTAGGATTCATTAAGTAATGTCCCCATGTATTTGCTGACGCAGTGTCTGCAGCATGCTAGCCCCTGGGCCAAGGTGTGGAGAGAAGGCCCCTACCCCAGCGAGCTCACTTACATAAACGATGGCCAAGGGCCCAGTGTAGGCTGTGATCGTCAAGCCAAAGACATATTTGAGCACCGAGATGAGGATCTGGAGCCCTGCTGCAGTCATGAAGCCCCGGATGAAGGATTCCGAGAGGTAGATGGCAACAAAGCCAAACTGCACGAATCCCAGACAGATCTAAGGATGGATGGACACACGCATCACAGTGTAAACGTACTAGAAACAGCCCAGACCCCGTCTGCAGGGGCCATCACAGAGATCATTAATGGAGAACTGCTGCACGTGCCAGGCTGGCCCCTGCAGTGCAGGGCAGCCACTTGGCACGGGGCACTGGGGCGGTCTGGACACAGAGCCAGTCTAACTAGCCCAGGGAGAGTCATGCCAGGCTGGGAGCATTCTCTGGTGGCAAAGAGCCAACATAGAGGCTGGGGAAGTGTGGCTGGGATGCCATTTTGTTCCCTTGGGTCCGCTAGTGTCACCTGGCGAGTGCTCTAACCAGTGACTAGCTCTGCACACAGGATTGGGAGAGTGCACAGGGTGAGCTTTGCACCACCTTGGCAACTGCGTCCTCCCCCCAGCCCTGCACCATGAGCAAGACGCCCTCTCTGAACACAGGCAGTGGAAATACAGACCATGTGTCTAGCACACACCATGCCTCCTATGGGCATTGCCACGTGCTTAATTTTCTACTACCCCATGTGCTCCCGTGAAAGTGTCTTTGGAGTAAAAACACACCTGCAATTGCTATGAGCTGCTGATCATGGAAAAAAAACAGAGACCTCAATGTGTCTCTTTCTTGTTCAGAAACTTTAATATAGGATGGGTCCATCTATCCAGATCCCTATTATAGTGTAGGAATCACTATAGTGTCTGAGGTCCAGTGTTTCTGAAGTGGGAGCCAGGACCACAGGACCCTTCCAAACCTTTTGTTTCCAGGTATCATCTACTTGGAAACAGTCCCAATTGTTGCACTTGCTGGCACTGCCATCCCCTTCCTTGAGGGTGTACAAATGACAAAATCCAACCTCATACAAGGGGGAGGGTTAGGCTTAGCTCAGACAGTGGACACTGCAGCGTTAGTGCCAAGATGTCCTTACTTGTATGATGGCTGTCAGACAAGCTAATGTGGCGGAAATCTCCAGTCTGGCTGCCTCCATGGCTGTGTTGTTGATGTTTATCTCATTGGTGGTATGGTTAAAGTATTCGAAATCGGACTCAGGAGCCAGATCATGGCAGACGCTCCCAACGATAATGCTGATGACAGCAAAGGTGCCTACAGGACAAAAGAGTAACAGGTGACTTACATGTATACAAGCATCCCATCCTGAAAAGCGTTAACGTAAATTGGGAATCACCCACCACTGCAATGCAGTCAGTTCTGTAGCAGAACACGGCAGTGGTTTATCAGCGCATGGCGCAATGCTATACAGCAGGCACCAGGGATCCAGGACATTGACTAATGCACCAGAGAGGAGGCTTGGTAAAACAGCGCCCTGTCAGGAGATATGGTACAGCTGGAGGATGTGCCCTTGGGCAATGAACGTAGTTGGAATGTACAGACATTCAAATTTCAGAACTAAAAAGGGGAACTTACCTGGGACCATCTGGTGGACGCCACCTAGGATGAAGTAGGGTATCAAAGGGAAGAAGGAGGAGTAGAGTCCATTGATGGGAGGCAGATTGGCAAGCAGTGCAAAGGCCATCCCTGAAAAATGCAAGTGAAATTGACTTCAGATCTCCCATCTCAGTTACAGTTGCGGGCCCTGGGAATTCCCCTCCTGGCACAGAACAGTGGCCCAGCTAGTTCGGCAGCCTGTCTTTGGCAATGTACTAAATGCTCCAGGGGAAGATGCAAGAAAACCCATACGGGACATTTATGGAGTGGGCTACTGCACCAAGGCAGCAGGGTCTATGAGCCTTCATAGGGGTGCAGGACTCTTCTAGTAGCGACTCATCCTGTTAGCAGAAGCTAAAAATCTGCACAAAGCTGCTGTGTCAGTGCTGCGGGGTCTTTGTGGTAAATGCAGCGTGTTAACTCTCCCAGGATACGAGATGTGACCCTCTGGCGAGAGGCAACTAGGGGCAGAGCCAGGGGCGCCCTGCAGGGAAAACCAGGACGAGCCAGCTTTGAGGAGAAAGCTTTGGCTGAGGGTTTATGTTCTGTTGTTACTAATAAAGCCAAACCCCAGGAAGGGGATAAAATCAGCCATCGACAGCGTGTCCGAACTTTAATTGGAGCAAGGTGGGAATGTTCTCTCCTCCCAGCTGCTCATGGGGGGAAGTTACTTCCTAACCCCCACTGGAGAAAGAAAACCTGGTCTCACCTTGTGGCACTTGAATGGTCCCCGCACTGATTCCCCCAAGGACATCGGGCACAATGTAGTCTTTAATTTTATATTTAGGGAGCCAAACGAGTATTGGAAACAGACTGTAGATGATGACTTTGAACCTGGATGATGAACATCTAGAGAGGAAATGAACACAAGTAAGGAAGGAGGGTCCCGATAAGAAGCATTTCCCCTCACTACGAGGTTTCCTATGCAAAGGACAATGGTCCTGATTTTCATTGCCTCTTGCCTTGGGAAGCCATTTACACTAGTGTGGAGCAGATACAAAGCCAACCTGGGTGTGAGAAGCATCACCAGTCTGATGTGGCAGCATTCTGTGCATGTTTCACACTAAAAGAAAAGGAGTACTTGTGGCACCTTCGAGACCAACAAATTTATTTGAGCATAAGCTTTCGTGAGCTACAGCACACTTCATTGGATGCATTCAGTGGACAACCATGCCACTGGTTATTAGCATAGGCTGAACATCACACATGTTGGAAAAGGGAAGTGGATCTCTAGGATTTGTATATTACCCTAGAATGCATGGTTGGACAGGGTTTCTACTTTAGAAAGAGCAGGTGAAGTTTCCAAAGCAATCACAGGGATTTAGACACATATCCGCTATTGAAATTAAAGTAAGATCTTATATCTACATCCCCTGAACTGTTCAGGGATCTCAGGCAGTATCTTTCTTCAGTGGTTAGAACATAGGACTTTCAGGGTTTCTCTACACAGGGTTTCTCTAGGTTCTGTTCTCCTTTCTGCCACTGACTCATTATAAGGCTTTAAGCATGTCAGTGAAGCTCAGCTTACCTATCAGTCCTATGGATCTAACAACACATGCACAGGCTTCCTCAGTTAATGTCTGCAAAGCCCTTTGAGATACTTGGGTGAAAGATGCTTTCTATATAAATGCAAAGCAAAAGCATTCTTCTGAGCACAGCCAGGCTGCCTTCATTTCTGACTGTAGACTGATTCATTTGAAGTGAAAACCATAAACTCCATTTACCTTTCAATTACAGTGCAAACCCAATCAAATATATATTCATTACTCAGCGCTGGTTATCTCAGATGTATTAATCTCCAGCGGCTGTGATTGCATTTTCTCCCTGGGGTGGTGCTGTTCTGTACTTCGGCGAAGTGAGAGAGAGAGAGAGCAGTTATTCCTGGGGCTTATTGAAAAACTCTCTCCACTTAAAAAGCACCTGGATGCCACCCAAAACTAAAGTCAACATGGGAACAGCCACAGCCTCACAAGCATCAATGTGTCGAGTTTAACAAAGGCTCTCTAGCCTATGGCTTCGCCTATCCAAAGCCCAGAGAGCACCTCAAACAGCCGCCCATCTTGATTTCAGAGTACAGAAATCTTTCCACTCCAAATATCTGTGCTCAGTTAGCTATTAGCTTGCTGGGCCTGACTCTCAGTTAGTCCATTGCTGTCCTGGGGGCAGGGCCAGGACTCTATACATGTTGGAAGAGTGTTAAAGTGGCTTTAAGCCAATTTTGCACTCCCCATATTCTGAGGCAGGGCCCTGCACCCAATGTAAGTGAAAGCAGCCTTAAGGCTGGCCTACACTAGACCCCGGGAAGCAAGGACTAGCCATAATGCCTTGCACTCCAGCCTTGCTTCTGATTCACTCCCTATGCTGGGAGCTGATAACAGGGCGGGGCAGAGCCCTTACACTAGGTCTATGCCAGCTGAGGAGCCTCCATACACGTGGGGGTATTTTCAAGGGGCCATTTCTGATTATTTCCAGGTCCTTTTATGCAGCCAGAGCTGAATGATAGAGCCTTTGTGTGTGTGTGAATCAAACCTCCATAGTCGTGGGCTGATTCAGGGGCAGCTGGTTGCCTACTGCCCTTCATGCTTTTGAAAAAAATCTCTCTACTAATTATGAAATTGACTAGAAAATTGCTAACAGCTTGTCATTGCTTCCCCCATGCTACAATGCCCGGGTTGTAAAATGCCACAGGAGACCATTTATTTGCTTAAAAACATGTTTCCCCTGGAATTTTTTTTAATGGAAATGTTGCATTGATCTCAGGGTTTGCATTCTCTCCTTCCCCTGTCTCCAACCCCTCAAACACCGCACTGCTGAGCCAAATCTGACCTGGCAACAGGCTCCGAAGTGTTAAAGTAGCATTCCACATTACCTGAAAAGGTTCTTGACTTTTTCCCCAAGTGGATAACTTCTCTTTTTCTTCTCAAACTCTTCATCGAAGAAGTTAACAGAATACGCAGCCCGGTCGACAACATAGCGAGGTCGGGCTTGGTTCATCTCGGTGTCCTTCAAATCCTTCCGAGATAAGACAAAGGAGAAGAAAGGAATCAGCGTGAGCAGATCTGGCCACCAAGTGAAGTTTTAGGAGAAGAAGAAGAGAGACTTGGTCTAGCCTCCTTCATCCAGGCATTTAGGATTTCCTCTGGAGTATTCTGTCTCCTAAATGTCTTCTTTCCACTTCACAAGCAGGCTTCTGCAGCAAGAGATTGTCTGTTTCCAGGCTGGGTCACCACCTCTTGGACTAAATGGATTTTTTGTCACCTGTTTTATAGTGAAACTCATAAGCGAGGCAATGTGATCTAAAGGAATGTGCACCGGATTGGGTGTCAGGAAGTACAGTTCTAATCTTGGCTCTGCCAATGACTTACTGTTTGGGCTTGGGAAAGTCACCTGATCTTTCCATGCCTCAGTTTCACCATGCATAAAATGGGGTTAGTGATACATCATAGCACTGCTGGGAGGATTAATTAGCATGTCTGTGAAGCATTGTGCAGTGGGAAATATTAACATTACCGGTACGGAGGAGCTTTCATCCAAGAGGTTCCAGCTACAGCGCCTCATTAATTCATCTACAAACATAACACCCTTGGTGTTTCATATTTGCATTTAGAGTTGCTATTCTGTCCTGCTCAGAGCTGTGGGGTAATACTTGATTCCTGCCAGAAGCTGGGAACAATTTTCTCTCACACAGAGATGTAATAGTTGTTGACCTATTTGTATGAAAATGATGCTGAACAGTCCTGTTTGACCAGCCCTATGCAATATCTAGGTGTCGCCCGGGGAAGATAATAAACTCCCCATGGCTCACTTTAGTGTAAACAAAGCCACCAGAGGAAAGGGGAGAACCATTATGAGCTGATGAGTCTGAGGGTGAGGAGGGGGAATGCATACATTTGAAACAAGGATGTGGATAATTATTTTTGTCTGACATTTATTTAAGAAAGTCATTGCCCATCACACACGTCGGGGATGGGAAAGCAACTGGGATTTCAGGGAATAGTTATCAAGAAATTAACTGCACATCGCTGAAAGGTGTGAATTCTGCAGAATCTCGGCTATAGCTCCATTGACGTCAATGTAGCCACGTAGATTTACACCCGGATCTTTGTTTCAAGAGATTGGGCACAAGAGGGTCAGGTTTTGATTGTGCAAAACCTTGACAGTGGATATTTTGGCCTTATGGAACCAAAACCAGAGTAGGTTTTTATCCAGATCCTGTTTTACCAGAACTCTAAATTTTAGAGGAAATCAAGTAGAAGGTTCTGGAGTTGACCCATCTGTGTATCAGCTAAATCCAAACTGATTTTGGATAGTGCATTGGCTGCATTTTAGTTTAGAACCAAGTGCCATTTTACATCCAAAATTCTGGGAGTACTTGAATAACAAATTCTCCTTATGTCTGTCTCAAAATTGTTTTCTACTGGGCCCAGGAATATCCAGAGCTTCCAGTGTAAACTAGGATGAAGGCCTTGTTTGCATGGGGAAATTGAACAGAATATTAATAGCTGTAAAAACTATTCCAGACTAGCTCCCAATAAGAATACTCGGTTCCAGAATAAAAATCACTCAATTCCAGAATAGTGCAATGATAGAAATATCTCAGGGGTTCTCGTACGATGGGTCGTGACACCTCGGAGGGTCATGCAATCAACGGATGCAGTTGCGACTATCCTGAGTGCGTGGAGGACACCATTTTGCTCTGCTCAGCATAACCTCACACGTGCAGTGTGTGCAAGGTCACGCTGCCTGGAGGACGCCATTTTTTGCTCCAAAGTGGCATCTTCCATGTTGTCTGGGGTGACAGGAAGCAAAACGTCTGAAAATAGGGCCATGCAGGCAATAAGGAACTGCTACAATAGCTCTTCCAGTCAATTTCCCTGTGTAGACAAAGGCCGACATGACACTGAGCCCATCCTCGGAGAAAGCCTGAGGGAAGGGGGTGGTCAGAGAGAAGGAATAAAGGTTTCCAGAGGAAAAGCTATGTGCTGGCTGCATTGAGTATATTGTCAACACTGCAATCTGAGGCGTGATCGCAGCTTGGTTAGACATACCTGCTCGCCTCTCACAGTTTGTATGGCAACTTCCACCTTCTCTGTATGTATATATATATCTTCTTACTGTATGTTCCATTCTATGCATCCGATGAAGTGGGCTGTAGCCCACGAAAGCTTATGCTCTAATAAATTTGTTCATCTTTAAGGTGCCACAAGTCCTCCTGTTCTTTTTGTGGATACAGACTAACACGGCTGCTACTCTGAAACCTGTCATACCTGCTCTAGCTTTCACTAAATTAGCAGTGGAGACATGGCAGCATGGGCTGTACAAATACGCCGGGGAACTTGGGCACGTGATCGCCTTGCTAACCTGCTCTGAATCTCATGCCGCCGCATCTACGCTGCTAATTTTCAGCCACGCCAGCGCCGATACCGCTAGCCCCATCACAGCTTGAATTGCAGTGTAGACATACCCTCGGTCTGGGAGTGATGCAGTTAATGTTAAATGTTTTGGGCCCAATTCATCCCCGGGGTAGCCCACTGAAGTCAGTGGATGAATCTGGCTATTTGTACTTTCTGTGTATTTTCTGCATTGTAGCCCAGTCTGGGTTCAGAACAGAACTAGATTATCTCATGTGACTGCCAAAAGGGAGCAATCTGGGTGAATCAGGGTGGTAGGACTGGGATTGCTGTCTGATAGGCCAGGAGAAAAATCTTTCTGTCTGGGCATGTCTTGAACTGGATAAAAACAATGTGATATCCAGGCCACAGATCTGGAGAGACACTGTTCCTAAAATACCTGAACACAAGGGCACATGGCCTGGGGCAAAAGCTAGTCAGGAAAAGGGAATCATTAGAGTCTGCGAGATGCTTTAGAGGCTGTATATGAGGATTGCTACATGGACCACTGAAATGCAGGGCAGAAGATGGCAGCAGTTCAGCAGAGCACATCAGCACTACACACCAGTCTGGGATGGGAAGCGGAGGATACTATATCCAGCTGAAGACATGGGGTGATTTTAGGGAGGCAGAATGTTAATTACCACTCTCAAAATGTGGTCAGAGCACAACCAGCAACACCTCAGCTCTTGTGAACAGCCCCAAGGGATCTTCAGGGACGAGGGCCTTGTCTACACTAGAAAGGGTTTGCTGGTACAGCTGTATCAGTATGGCTATCCTGGCAAAGCTTTGTAGTGTAGACGCAGTTTATACCAGAAAAAGAGCTCTTCTGCCTGTATAACTTATAACAGTTGTGCAAATGAAATCAGCTATACTGGCAAAAGGACTTTTTTCTGCCTGTCCAACTGCATCTACACCAGGGCGTTTGCTGGTAGCAGAATGTCATAAAAGAAATCATGCCCCATCTGCCATTACTACTAGCAAACATGTCTAGCGTAGACCGGGCCTATGTGAGGCGAGGACTGTGGTCTTCCATTATTTGAAAGATGGAATCCCAGTGGTATAGCCCCATTCCCAGGCCCTGGCTCAGTTGTGACTCAGGGGAAAGAGTGGTTTCCCTTTAGTGCATGTCTACCCTGTAAACAGAGGCGAGGTTGCAGCATGTGGACACGTACCCAAGAAAGCTTTGATCTAGCTAGCTGGAATAACAATAGTAGTAAAGCCATGGCAACGTGGGAGTGAAGCCCTCCCAGTTTAGGCTAGGAGAGCCTGCATATGTGGTACCTAAACGAGCTGGATTAAAGCTAGCTGAGTGTACGACTCCACAGATCCAGAACCCAGGCCTTGTAGGACTACTAGGCACCCAGTAGCAGCTGTAACTAGCTTGCACGCTGATGCTCATGACCTGCTGTGGACACAGCCCATGGAAAGTCCTGTGTCAAGGGGTCTGACAGGCAGGAGCCCCAAGGCTCATCACTGGCTCCCCACTCGATATAAACCCAAAGGTCATTTGTGGCTGCCATGACCATCCTTGCTCCCTGTGCAAATCCTGGCTTTGATCTTGGTTCGATTTTCATTTTGCCTTCTGACCTGCACCCTGACTTGGACTCTGATCCTTGGTATCTGCCCTAGCCTGGAACCTGACTACGCAAGTCCTCTGCTACTCCCAGCCTCGGGTTTGACCCTACTCTGACCCTTGGCCTGACTGCCCTTGTTGGGATCCTGACACTCAGGTATGTCTCCATGTGCTGCAATCGCATCTCTGATTGCAGCGTAGATATATCTTTAGAGGTCTCCAGGTCCAGCCCTGAGAGCTGATGAGATCTGAGCCCAAGGTCATATGGCTGCAGGCTCTAGCTTTGTACAGAGCAGTTACACACTCCTATGGGAGTTTGCTGTTCCAGCCTCCTAAACTGTGCTTTCCCTCCAGGCTTTCTCCAGAGACAAAGGTTCACGCTCATAAGAACAGAGCTGGAGGTGTAGATGGGACTAGACAATCTCAGTCAGACAGCGTCTTCAGCGATTCAATCTCAGTCAGACAGCGATTATTGAGTACAGTTGGGGGTTTTTGCAATCGTTTAACTTTTTCTTTCTCTGGACACTTCTGGCCCAACCTATACTGACTATTGTCGAACAAGCATCTGATAAAACCAGGAGCCTAACAGATTGCCTGGAATGAGTATTGACCATGGCTTGCTCCCATCTATACGAGACCCCAAAGCATTTTCCATTCTGATAGAGAGGGACCAGTGACTAATGGAGACCAGTGACTGACACCACAGCAACAGGGCTAGTTTGTGCAGATGTGCCTTCTACATACCTGGCAATGGTGTCACCTGCCTAGTCAAGCCCGAAAATATCATCCCAAGTGTGTTACACACCAGAGGACTAAGCCGGAGAGGTGCCAAACACGCTCAACTCCTATAGCCTTCGCCCCTCAGGCTCAGCACTGCTCAGGATCAGGTCCTAAACATACTGGGTGAAATCCTGGCCCTGTTGGAGCCAGGATTTCACCCATAAGTGTATGCCCAGAGGAATGATGTCACTGTTAGCTGAGAGGTAGCCACCTCTGGGGTGGAGTCTGGAAGATTTTAACAATGTGCAGTAACATAGCACAGAGGTCCAGGGCAGGAAGCGAAGGATAATGCAGGCAGCTGAAATGGCTGTGGGAATATAGGTCAGCAGTATGATG